AGGGAAAGAATGTAAATTAAGTTACAAAAAAAAGTTTCAGGAAAAAAATATCTATTCGATGACTGCAGTATGATATGTAGCCCCAGCTAGGTGCTACTTTAGAGGATGCCTAAAGTTAGACTTGTGGTCATGTATATATCAGCTGTGTTTGCTATGAAAATATTTAGATTAATTAAGGTCTTTAGTAATTCAATAAAATGTGGGGGGAAACAGTATAGAAAGTAAACATAGATACCAGAGACAGTGTGGGAGGAGGGTGGGAGATGGCAGAGGGTAAGAGATAGAGAATCAAGGAGGGGGGAGAAAGCAAAACATACAAAAAACAAGAAATGGAAAATTATTTGTTGATACTAACATGTTTGTTGATATACTTGATCGAGAAAATATACAGGGTGCTCTGGATGGAAAATCTCATTTTGTATGCTGTAATGATGTACAGTGAATGAATGTAAATAAATAAATTTAAGGGGACCAGCAGTTAGCGTAATGGCTATGTCGCTGGACTCCCACGTAGTCGACCGCGGTTCACGTCCTTGACCCGGTGGCTAAAACTCACGCTGGGCGCATGTGCGTGCGTGCCCAAGATCCCAAGAGGAGAATGGAAGAGAAGGGATTGTGGCATGCCCATCCCCCCTGGGGGGTGATTTCTCACTTTCTGTCTCTCTGTCTGTCTCTATCTTTCTGGCAAGCGCATGTGAATGGGAGAAAATATTTATAACTTGTATATCTAATAAGGGATTAATATCCAGAATATTAAAAAATTCCTAAACTCAACAATAAGAAATAAACTGATCAAAAAGATAATGATATTCAATATCATTGGTAATTAAGGAAATGCAAATTAAAACAATACGGAGATATTTACTTAATAGCTCCTAGAATGGATATGATTAAAAACGAATCCAGGAAATAGCAAGTGATGGGAGAACGTGGATAAACTAGAACGCTGTGAACTGCCGGAGGGATATACAATGGTATAGCTACTATGGAAAGGTTTGGGACTTCCCCAAAAGGCTAAACACTGAATTACAATATCATGCAACCACTCCTTGATACATGTCCAGAGAACTCAAAGCTGGGCCTCAAAAAGACCCATCCACCAACAGATGAGTGGGTAAACAATATGTAGTAGATACATGAAGGGGAGGGCCAGCCAGAGGCATGATGGTTAGGATGGCTAGATTCCACATGGCCAACTGTGAGGTTCGAGTCTCAGACTTGGCGGCTTAAAAAACATGATGGGCATGTGTGCATGCATACCCAAAATCCTGAGAGGAGAATAAAGTAGAAGGGAGTGTGGCATGGCCATCCCCCTTGTTGATGGGAGGTGATTTGTCACTATCCCACTCTGTGTCTCTCTTTCTCTGAGTGCACATGCCCTACAACAAACTGAAAAAAAAAAAAGTATTATTCAACTTTAAAAATGAAAGAAATTCTAATATTTGGTACAATATGGATGAACCTTGAGGACATGATGCTCAGAGAAATAAGTCAGTCACAGAGGGCAAATACTGTATGATTCCCCCTTCTATGAGGTATCTAGAGTGGTCAGACTCAGAGTCAGGGAGTAGAAGACAGGTTTCGAGGGGTGAAAGGGAGCTACTGTTTAGTGGATATAGAATTTCGTTGGAGGGACCAGCAGTTAGCGTAATGGCTATGTCGCTGGACTCTCACGTAGTCGACCGGGGTTTGAGTCCTGGACCCGGTGGCTTAAACTCACGACGGGCGCGTGTACATGCGTGCTCAAGATCCCAAGAGGAGAATGGAGAAGGGATTGCGGCGTGGCCATCCCCCCAGGGGTGTGATTCCTCG